GGTCTCTAAATAGATTATGCATTTACAGAAAATGTAAGAAGAAACAAGCTATACAACACCACAAAAAAAAAAATTAGCCAAACCTAGAATTTAGGAAATTCTATAAGACAAAGATCCAGATGCTAGAAGACATAAGAAAACACAAAATAGAGGAAGAACTGTTAGAGGTTAAAACACATTTAAGAGCCACAACAAAATCTGTAATGAATGGACCTTCAACAATCCTGATTCAAAAAAAACTTGCTATAAAAACACATTTTTTAAATAACTTGGTAAATGTGAATATGGACAGGGTATTAAATGGTATTAAGAAATACCATTTAATATTTATTAATATAAATTTAATCTCAATTAAATTAAATTAAATTAATTTAATATAAATTTAATATTTCACATTTAATTTTATATCTCACTTAATATTTATTAAGTGAGATGATACTTTGGGAATAAAAAGAAGCCCTTATCTGTAAGAGATGAAGGCTCAAGTATTTATGAGTAAAATGGTGATGTCCAGGATTTCTTTAAAATTCCCAATAACAACAAAACACAGTTGTGTTTGAGCCTGTTGAGAGTTGGCTCTTTATAATATAATAGAATATATAATCAAACTTCATAATAGAGTTCACACTAGATACACATGGAATGTGTACATGAGGGATATATGAATGTGTATGTGAGGGATATTTTTTCAATATATGTGAACCCTAGTAACACTGTTAACCAACTTCCAATTCAACATCTCCTATACTCATATACCACAGGACATTTCATCAAACAGCTTTGTTAAAATCATGATAGTTTACATCAACTTGTCATGCCATTTCCTTCATTTATTAACAAAGTAAACCTAACACAAGAGAAGTCAAGGTTAGCCTGACATGACTTGTTTTTAGTAATGCTTACAGATTCTCAAGTATCACTACACTCTTCTTTTTTTTTCCATTTTTTATTACGTTATATTAGTCACCATACAGTACATCATTAGCATTTGATGTAGTGTTCCATAATTCATTGTTTGTGTATAACACCCAAGTGCTCCATGCAATCCTTGCCCTCCTTAATACTCATCACCAGACTCACCCATTCCCCCCTCTAAAACCCTCAATTTGTTTTCTGGAGTCCACAGTCTCTCATGGTTCCTCTCCCTCTTTGATTCCCCCCCTTCATTTTTCCCTTCCTTCTCCTAATGTCCTCTACGCTATTTCTCCTGTTCCACAAGTAAGTGAAACCATATGATAATTGACTTTCTCTGTTTGACATTTCATTTAGCATCATCTCTTCCAGTCCCATCTATGTTGATGCAAAAGTTGGGTATTCATCCTTTCTGATGGCTGAGTAATATTCCATTGTGTATATGACCACATCTTCTTTATCCATTTGTCTGTTGAAGGACATCTTGGTTCTTTCCATGGTTTGGGTATTGTGGAAATTGCTGCTATGAACATTGGGATGGATATGACCCTTCTTTTCACTACATTTGTATCTTTGGGGTAAATACTCAGTACTGCATAGGGTAGTTCTATTTTTAATTTTTGAGGAACCTCCACACTGTTCCAAAGTGGCTGCACCAACTTACATTCCCACAAACAGTGTAAGAGGGTTCCCCTTTCTCCACAACTTTCCCAACATTTGTTGTTTCTTGCCTTGTCAATTTTTGCCATTCTAACTGGTGTAAGGTGGTATCTCAATGTGGTTTTGATTTCCCTGATGGCTAATGATGATGAACATTATTTCATGTGTCTGTTAGCCATCTATATGTCTTCTTTGGAGAAGTGTCTGTTCATATCTTCTGCCCATTTTTTGACTTGGTTATTTGTTTTTTGGGCATTGAGTTTGAGAAGTTCTTCATAGATCTTGGATATCAGCCCTTTGTCTGCCGTGTCACTTGCAAATATCTTCTCCCATTCCGTGGGTTGTCTCTGTTTTGTTGACCACTTCCTTTGCTGTGCAGAAGCTTTTTACCTGAAGTCCCAGAAGTTCATTTTCACTTTTGTTTCCCTTGCCTCTGCAGACGTGTCTTGAAAGAAGTTGCTGCAGCCGATGTTAAAGAGGTTACTGCCTATGTTCTCCTCTAAGATTTTGATGGATTCCTGTCTCACATTGAGGGCTTTCACCCATAGAGAGTTTATCTTTGTGTACGGTGTAAGCAAATGGTTGAGTTTCATTCTTCCATATATAGCCGTCCAATTTTCCCAGCACCATTTATTGGAGACTGTCTTTTTTCCATTGGATATTTTTTCCTGCTTTGTCGAAGATTAGTTGACCATAGATTTGAGGGTCTGTATCTGGGCTCTCTATTCTATTCCATTGACCTATGTGTCTGGTTTTGTGCCAATACCATGCTGTCTTGGTGATCACATTTTTGTAATATAGCTTGAAATCAGGCAACGAGATGCCTCCAGTTTTGTTTTTCTTTTTCAATATTTCCTTGGCAATTTGGGGTCAGATAACTATATTCTTGTCTAAATGTCTCCCTTATGTCTAATAATTTATTCTTGATTTTTCTAAGGAATCAGAATGAGCCAATCATCTATAATTCTCAAATTTCATTTTTTCAATTTAAAAAATGTATTTAACAGTTTTAGTGAGATATAATTCACCCATTTAAAAAATATAATTCAATATTCTTTAGTATATTAAGAGAGTTGTATAACTATAACCACAATTTAATTTTGGAACATTGTTTTTAAGATTTTATTTATTTATTTGACAGAGCACAAGCAGGGGGAGTGTCACGCAGAGCGAGAAGCAGGGTCCCTGGGAGGCTGATGCAAGACTTGATCCCAGGACCCTGGGATCATAACTGAGCTGAAGGCAGACACCCAACTGACTAAGCCACCCAGGCATCCCCAATTTCAAAACTATTTTAATACCCCCAAAAGAAACCCTTTAACCATGACCTGTTATTATTCTCCATTCTCTACTCTCTACCTTTCATTCTTAATCTTCTTTCTGTCTCTAAAGATTTGGACTTCTGCAAATATTGATGGTTTTTTAATTCTTAAAAAACAGGGTATTATCTTTTAGTATGTCCCATCTCTTAGTATGAAAGTCAATTCCTGTAAGACAATATATATTCAAGTTTCTTCAACTCTGGAATATTTAAGCTTACACTCTCTAGGTGCTGAGTCTAGCATCAGGTTCCCAGGACTTCCCTGTCTGACACCTTAGTCCTGTGACAAGGAAGTCATGGGACAATACAATACTCAGGGTCTATACCATTTTTCTGATCAACTTTGCATCACATAAGAGATCCCCCACGGTTAGCCTAGATACTCATCTGATGCTCTCGTCATCCCTACTCCATCCTCCAAAACAACGTTCTGCCTTACTTTGATTCTTAAGGCTTTGGTTCTTAAGTCAGTCCAGAACTGACCTGGCACTTTGGGAATCTCTCTTGGACTACATTAAATAACTTTCTGGCTCCTCCTAACTCCCAGCTAAACAAAAAGGGAAGGGAATGAAGAAAACAGTGATTTTATCCCATTCCACTGGGTTTTAGCTTTTAATTCTCATGACCATTCTCTAGGCTTCCACTTCATCTTGTCATTCTCTTTTCTCCTGCCATCAGTCTGGACATGCCACAGTGCCAGAAGTACATGAGCCCCAAGAACACGTAGTTTGGCAAGTGAGAGTGAGATAGGTAGTGCGGAAAAGAGATTCTGGATCAGAGGCATGTGTCTTTGGTCCCTTTTACTTCACTGATGGAGTAGGAGAAGGCTACATATCTGCAAAGGCCAGAAAGGAGATAGCTGGTTCTAACCCATGAGGCAGAAACTGACTAAAGCCAAGTTACCAGATGGGACAAAAGAACAACTGAGAATGAAAAGAAGAAAAATTAAAGTGCTCAGAGTTTACCTTGTCCAAAGGGCAAAAAGACTCTTGACTAGGATAGGTCAGCCCTGACAAGTTCAACAGCAGATGGGCCATGAAGAGAAGGAAGAATCTTTGGCATGAGGTTTCTCTAATAGAGGCCAGCTTTGAAGATGGGGTAAAGGACAGAGAAGGCTCACACTATCACTTGTCCAAGCCTGCATTCTTCTGGCCATTAAATTAGGTCCCAAGCAGAATTCTCTCCCCATAGCCCTCTCTACAATGTGCAGGAGTGAACACCTACAAGCAAGTGATATATTATCAAAAAAGGCAAAACAGCCTAAACTTTCTTGAAGTACTATTTCACATTAGAAAGGGATATGCTCTATCTGTCTATGCCTGTGGCTCCCGGCAGCCATCTCCAGCTCTACCTGTCAGGCATTTCTTCTGGAAGTATGTAGAACATAACTTGCTGAGCCCAGCTAATTAGCTCCCTTTCCTACTCCAGGAATCTGAACCCAGAGGAAACTTAAAATACCCAAAATAAATAAGAGGATATTTTTAGCAAGTGCCTCAGTCCTATACTGTAGTGCCTAGACCAGAAAAATGTCTAGGAGGCTCAGAGCCTGTATGTGTATTTGCTGGGATCAATCATCTGAAATAAACTGTATGTGCTAGGATCAATCATCTTAACTGCATCTACTATTAACCAATTTGTATGGAACTATAGTATTTTGATATTTTAACCACTGGTACATCTATGCTAGTATATACTGGCAGATCATTAAACCCAAGAGATTCAGGTTTTATGTGGTTTCTGAAAGTGACAATTAGTGCCCATAAAGCTGGATGCCTCCTATCAGGACTGGACATCACTGTGTAACAATCTACAAGTAGGAAACTTCATGATAAAACCTTTAAAGCACCTTATCGAAGAGTCTTAAAGATGTTTAATTTTAAAAAGATTATGTATAACCAAAACATGATCTGTACTTATTAAAAGTAACATGTAAAATGACATCTACCATATTAGGAACAACAAATCATCACATAGTACTATTTTATTATATATTCCAAGTATCCACTAGCAGAATGAACTAAAACTGAATTCCTAAAACTGAGGTTCCAGAGATTTTTAATACTTGCAGAATATAGTATTTGCTTTGCAAACAAAAGCATCACAGTACCTTATAATGTCCATTTATGACAGCATCATGTAGGGGAGTGATCTGGTACATTCCTTTGATATTTACATCTGCTCCACCTTTTAATAGTTCACTTACTGTCTGATAAAATCCTCCCACACTAGCTTCATGAAGTGCTGTCCAACCTATTATACAAAAAGGAAATGGAATTTGTTTATGTTTGCTATCTTAATGTTTAGTGCTTGCCCTTTAAATAAAAACTCTATGTTGTTTCTTTAAAAATATTTTGATTATATGAGACAAGATAATCTTACCATGAAAATAACTTGCATTATCAGATGAATTCAGTAAATCTGAGGAACAAATCAAATTCATAGCCCCAAATTAATTGTGAAGAAATACATAAATAAGTAAATTGTGAAATTCAATTGTGAAAAGCTCAGTTGTGAAAAAATATAAAAAGTAAAAATTTTTTTTAAAGAAGTAAAGTATCTGAAACTATTCCTGCCCTCCTCAAATAAAAAGGCTGTAAAGGAGTCATTACTAGGTCACAGAGAATGCCAGCTGCAGGTTACTTTTCTGTAGAAAAGAGGGGGGGGGGACACTATTTATAGCTCAAGGTACTTCCATTAAAGTAACCTAGCTGTAAAGTAACAGAAGTCACTTCAAAAACATACATTTCTTTTCTCATTTGTTTTTTCTTTTTTAAGATTTTATTTATTTACTTGACAGAAACGGAGACAACAGGAGAGGGAACACAAGCAGGAGGAGTGGGAAAGGGAGAGGGAGAGGCAGGCTTCCTACTGAGCAGGGAGCCCGATGTGGGGCTTGAGCACAGGACCCTAGGATTATGACCTGAGCCAAAGGCAGCCACTTAACCAAATGAGCCACCCAGCATCCCTCTTTTCTCCTTATTTGTAAAAAGCTATTTATAGTAATTCTTTTTTTTTAAAGATTTTATTTATTTATTTATTTGAGAGACAGAGTGTAGTGAGAGGCAGAGTGAGAAGAGAGGGACAAGCAGGTACCACACTAAGCACAGAGATGGGGGTTGATCTCAGGACCCTGAGATCATAATCTGAGCTGAAACCAAGAATTGGATGCTTAACTGTCTGAGCCACCCAGGCATCCCTATTTACAGCAATTCTTTTTTTTTTTTTTTTTTAATTTATTTATTTGTCAGAGAGAGTGAGCACAGGCAGACAGAGTGGCAGGCAGAGGCAGAGGGAGAAGCAGGCTCCCCCTGAGCAAGGAGCCTGATGTGGGACCCGATCCCAGGACGCTGGGATCATGACCTGAGCCGAAGGCAGCCACTTAACCAACTGAGCCACCCAGGTGTCCCTACAGCAATTCTAATACCAACTGTTTTAAGAAAACCAGTCACACAGAAAAGTATCCTTTATCCTTGTTAGCAAGAGACAAAGGTATAAGTTATATTTATTAAATTCCAATAAATCATAGGATTAATGAAAGAAAACCTAAATGCTACATTTTAAAAGTATATTTCACTAACTCCTTCCAGAACCTTCTCCATAAACTGGGGTTCTTTAACTCGGTACTAACATTTTGGGGTGGATAATTCTTTGTGGTTCTGAGCATTTTATTAGATGCCAATAACACCCCATCCCCATTCCAGTTCTAACAACTAAAAATGATTCCAGTAACTGCCAAATGTCTCCTGAAAGGTGGTATCACTCCAGTTAAGACCCATTGTCATAAAATGTTATGGAAACAGTTTCTCCTATATTATTAATTAGAAAGCTTTGAGGAAGAAATGAAGAGTATCAAAAATGGTAAATATATAGTTAATACAAGTTTTTTTCCCTATAAATTTCCTTAAAATGCATGTGACTACTTAAATTGAATATTATACACTATATTTTGGTGTTATTAATGTATACAGATGTGTGATATATCTATATATATATACACACACAAAAGGGAGACGTGTTCAATGTTTTTACATTTTATAGAAATATTAACATACTAACTCTAAAAAGACTGAAACATCAAAGACATATATTGCAATCACCAGAGTAACTACTTCAAAATAATGCAAGGACAAAGCGGGGGAAATGTGCACAAGAAACAATTAGTAAAATTTTAGTCGTAAATCCAATCTTTTATATGAAATGAAAACTGATTAATCACCCCAACTGAAAGGCAGAGATTGTCAGAATGGATAAAGAAGCTGTCTTTAAGAAATATGCTGTCTGTAAGAAATAAATTTTATTTATTTATTAAAGATTTTATTTATTTATTTGAGAAAGAGTAAGAGAGAGAAAGCACGAGAGAGGGAAGGGTCAGAGGGAGAAGCAGACTCCCCGCTAAGCAGGGAGCCTGATGCAGGACCCCATCCCTAGACTCTGGGATCATGACCTGAACCAAAGGCCTAAGCCACTGAGCCACCCAGGCACCCAAGAAACAAATTTTAAATAAAAAGACATAGATGGGACACCTGGGTGGCTCAGTGGCTTAGGCCTCTGCCTTTGGCTCATGTCATGATCTCAGGATCCGGGGGTCAAGCCCTGCATCAGGCTCTCTGCTCAGCGGGAAGCCTGCTTCCTGCCCCCACCCCCATCCCCGCCTGCCTCTCTGCCTACTTGTGATCTCTGTCAGGTAAATAAATAAATAAATATCTTAAAAAAAAAAAAAAAGACATAGGTTGAAAATAAAAGGATGGAAAAAGACATAGCAAACAGACAAGAAACGTAAGAAGGCTAGGATGCTTATATTGATATCATATAAAGTAGCTTCAAGGCAAAGTATATTACCAGAGATAAAGAGAGGTATTTTATAATAATTAAAAGGTCAATTATCAGAAGACATGACAGTTACAACCTAATAACAAAATTTCAAAATATAAGCAAAAACGGACAGAATTAAAGGGAGAAACCAACAATCCACAATCACAGTTGTTAATATTTCTACACTCTTCTCATAAAATGATAGCTCGACTAGACAAAAAAATCCATAAATACCGACATGATCTGAATATTACCAACCATCTTCATCTAAATGACATTTATAGAACATTAGATACAACTGAAGAATAAACATTCAAGTATACAAGGGATATTAAGCAATAAAGACCACATACTAGGCAACAGGCCACTCTCAATAAATGTAAAAGGATCAAATTCACAGAAAGTATATTCCTTTCACCAAAGAAATGAAGTTAGAAATCAATACCAGAAACATGCCCAGACAATCCTCAAATATTTAAAAATTTAACAACTTCTAATATAATCTTGGGGTCAAACAAATAATCATACAAAAATTAAAAGTATTTCAAAGTGAGTGATAATGAAAATATAACATATTAAAATCTGTTGGATTTAGCAAAAGCAGTCTTTAGAGGAAATTTAAAGCTTTAAATGACCATAGCAGGGAAAAATGTACAAAAATCTATGGCCTCATTTTTAACCTTAAGAAGCTAGATAAAGAAACAAATTAACCCAAAATAAGCAGAGGTCAAAAGAAGCAGAAATTAATAGCATTTAATACAGATAAGAGAGAAAAATTTAAAGCCAGATGTTAGTTCTTTGAAAAAAAAAATGCAATAAAATTGATAATCTTCTAGCTTAAACTACTTTAGGAAGGAAAGAAAAAAAAAGAGAAAGGAAAGAAGGAAGAGAGGAAATGAACAATATCAGGAAAGATAAATATCCCTAAAGATCTATAGATATTAAAACAATAATAGGGAAATATTATAAATAACTTTATGACAATAAATTCTATAACTTAGATAAAAAGGACAAATTCCTTAAGAAAGTACCACTTAACTAACTGAGCCACTCAGGTGACCCTAAAAAAGTACAGCTTACCAAAACTGACACAAGATGAAACAAAAAAAAACTACAGAGAAAGAATTATATGCTCTCATAGTTTCACTCTAAGTTCTGTCAAACATTTAAGAAAAAACTTCCAGTTTTAAGCAAACTCTTCCAGAAACTAGAAGAGAATACTTCTTAACTCATTTTATGAAGTCTACATAACATTGATACCAATACCAAAATCATTACAACAAAATTATGAACCAATATTACCTATGAATATAGGTCACAAAAATATGCTTAACAAAATATTAGCAAATCCTGATCCCAAACCAGACAAAAGCATTACAACAACAAAAAATTACAGACTAGTATGACTCATGATCATACATGCAAAAATCCTTAACAAAATAGTAGCATAATGTATCTAACAATATATAAAAGCATGATTTATTATGACCCAGGATCCATTCCTGATAAAAAATACTCAAGAAATTAGGAATGGATTCCTCAATATAAAGAGCAGCTATAAAACCTACAGCTAACCTCATGATTAATGGTGAAATACTGAAGAGGCAAAACTACCAGAAATAGTGAAAAATATCAGAGAAATATCAGAACAATAGTGGCTTCTAGAGAGTGGGGATGGGGAATGACTGGGAAGAGGCCTGAGGGAAATTTGTGGAATGTTGGTAATATTCTATCTTGATAGAGGTTTGGGTTACACAGGTGAATATATCTGTCAAAGTTCATCAAACAGCACATTTAAGATCTGTATTTTACAGTATGAAAATTTTACTTTTCAAAAAGAAAAAAAAGATTATTGAACTCTAGCTAGTTAAGAGATATTAATGTTGAGGTGTTCTGTGGTAAAATGCACTAACTTTCTTTGAAGTGCATCAACATAAAGATGGACTGATGGACAGAGAGAGATTTAAAGATGGATAGGAATGAAGTAAGAAATATTTATTAGTCTCTGCCCCCTGATTTCTGGCACAAAGCTCCTAAACTCTAAGAAACAGGGGTGCTAGGACAGTCTTCTGTTCTAGTATTTGTTCTCTCACCCAAGCTCCTCATACAGAACTCCCAAGACCTTTGCAATTTCATAAGTGATAAAAGTATATGACACAGAGGTCCTAAATTCCTTGCTATTCCCTAGGTTACAGAAGTATCTTTTGTCTTAATGAGGCAACTTTTGAAGGGCTCCTGGATGGGGGCTGGTCATAAGAAAGACCAAGTCATGATCAGAAACTTGTAAGTTTCAGTTCCACATCCCCTTCTCCCCTGCCCTGCCTTCATGATGAAGCCTTCATAAAAATCCCCAAACTCGGGGGTTCAGAGAACTTTTCCAGGTTGGTCAACACATCTACATGCTGGGAAGGTAACATATTCCAATTCCCAAGGAATAGAAGCTCCTGTGCTCAGGACCCTACCAGGCCTGATTCTGTATCTTCATCTGGGCATTCATCTGTATCCTTTGTCATATCCTTTATTATATAATAAACTTATATGGTAAACGTGTTTCCCTAAGTTCTGTTAACTATTTTAGGAAAAGATCAAAAGGATCATGGGAACCTCCAGTTTGTAGTCAAGTAGAAAAAAAATTGTGGGTAATCCAGGGACCTACTACTTGTGACTGGCATCTGAAGTGGGGGTGGCTGACTGATCCCTTAACCTGTGTGTTCTGTACTAATTTGGGTTAGTGTCAGAAATAAACTAAAATGCAGGACACCCAGGTGGTGTTGGAGAATTGCTTGATGTGTCAAAAATCCCATACATCTGGTATCAGAAGTGTTATGAATGTAAGTAGAGAAGAAATACATGAGTATTTTTCCTTGATAGTAAGTACGCAATAAAAATAAGTACATAGAATCTAGGTACGAGGTTTCTGGAAGCTTAATGTGGAATTCTTTTAACTTTTCAGTATGTTTGAAATTTTCCATAATGTTACAAGAAATTTCAAATGAATTGAACTTCATATGTGAACTTTTGAAACATAACCACTTAAGAACTACCTGTTTTATTTTTTTATTCATTTGAGAGAGAGAGAGAAAGAGAGAGAGCGCAAGCAGTGGGGAGCATCAGAGGGAGAAGCAGACTCTCCACTGAGCTGGGAGGCCGATGTGGGGCTTGATCTCAGGGCCCAGAGATATGACCCGAGCTGAAGGCAGACATCCAACCATCTGAGACACCCAGGAACCCCAGGAACTACCTATTTTTAAAAACAGAATATAAAAATTATCTCCCTCTAATAGTATTTGATAAAAAGTGTGAATTCATTTAGGTTTCAGGACCTGTAGAAGTTTATCAATGCGTATACTGGTTAACCTGATTATCTGCCACCAGTCTAGCATGAAAAATGAAATATAAGAAATCCAAAAGTTATTAACTTTGGAATGTAGATGATGAATTTCTTCCTAGGAAACTTCCTTTCCTTATTTAGGCTTTGCTTAAGCTAAAATAAAAATTAGTTTCCTAAAATGGACAAAAACAGGGTGCCCGGGTAGCTCAGTTGTTAAGTGTCTGTCTGCCTTCTGCTCAGGTCATGATCCCAGGGTCCTGGGATCCAGCCCAGTGTCAGGCTCCCTGCTCTGCAGGAGGCCTGCTTCTCCCTCTCCCACACCCCTTGCTTGTGTTCCCTCTCTCACTGTGTCTCTCTCAGTCAAATAAATAAAATTTTAAAAAGAACATTTTTTTTCTTTTTGAAAACTTAACCATCTTAAAGGAAATCTCTCTAAAGCTTTGTAAGATAATAAATTTCCCAGAAAGAAAAAATAACAAATTTTAAATAAATATCATAATATTCCTTATAGGCTCTAACACAGCAACTGTTAACACCCACAGAGGTATAAGTGCATGCTTTTCTGTGTTATACAGTCCTCAACAATGTCGCCTCTCATTTTTATGTTTTTATCTGCCTCTTGCCTTGCTATTAAGCTTCTTGCTATTATCAATATCCTGGACTGTGCCAACCTTTCCTTTCAGTTCTAATGTGCCACAGACTTAGGAGTCAGATAGAATTCTTCGTAAAATAATGCTCAAGGCATTGGTTTGAGAGGGTTTTAGCAAAGAAACTTTAGGAGATCTGTTTTTGGGTATTCAGTTTCTTCAGCCTACTTTCTGGTTTCACCCTTGTTTTTGATAGGTAAAGAGCGATTGCATCGTTTTTTTTTTAATCAAAGACAAAGATATCATAAAATGTAAATGAGGACTTACAATGCAAATGTTACCTATGACAAGACCATCGGTCTGTTATTATAACATCTTATTAATTTCTCAAAAGGCACTTATCCTTTCTTGGACTGTATCACAGAATACAGCCAAACTTTTCTAGTATACATATCTTTCTGTTTTTACAATATCTGGCACATAAGGGGCATACTGTAAAAGCTGACTACAGTGAACTGGTATATTACATGAAGGTCATTTATCTCTTACCAGTAGTTCCTGAACTTCACTGAGAATACAAATCACCTGGGGAAATATGTTAAAATGCAGATTTCAAGGTTTCAACCTATAGATTTCAAAGATTTTATTTATTTGACAGAGAGCATTAACCTACAGATTTTAATTGTGAGACTGTGTGTATGTATGTGTGTGTGTGCATGTGTGTGTTTTGGAGGGTGAAATAAACATTTTAAACAAATTGCATTTTAAACAAACATTGCAGGTGACTCTGATGAAAATGGTTGTAGTCAAGTCTTTAAAAACAGTACCCTCTGCAATTTTATAAGATGGAATAGCCAGATATAAAGATCAGAGCTAAGATGCCAAGTGAGAAGGAAAAGTAGAGAACAAGAGAATTCAAAAAGCCAGGAAAGTATGTTAAGGATAAAGAATTCATTAAGATCACAGAAGTATCTGGGGCAGTGAGGAGAACGTGCACAATAAATGACTGAAGACAAGCAGAGAAGAGACACCAAGGATGTTAACAATGGCACAGAAAAGGGCTAATGAAAAGAAATATGTTATAAGATTCTTGAGAAGTCCATAAAGTAAAGTTAGAGCTACTACTGAACTTAAGGAACAGATAGAGACAAATAGCAAGTACCACACATTTTGTAAGGAAGCAAGTGCTTTGGCTAGCAAGTGACGTAGGTGGTTCACTTGGGTATGGGATTTAGAGTAACAGCCTGTTAAAACCCTGATTATCATATAAATCCAGGCTTTGCTAAAGTAAGTGTAATCACCTGTTCGTCTATGGACTATGCTGTTCATCCCTGTGCATCATAAGACTTTTCACACTGCTTCATAAACTGAAAAAGTCTAGAAACACTAGTAAAATTATGGATACATAAAGGCACTACCCAGAGTAGCCTAGTGTTGCTAAGTGCCTTGTACTTAGGTGTCCTTAAGAAATCTTTCTTGTCCAGGAGAACATCAGTTTTTCTCCACAAAAAAGACAATACCAGAGATCCAGCCTTGCAGAAAGAATGTTCTGAGCTCCCTGTCCCACCCCTTCTACCTTGTACTCTGTTCTCTCCATATCCCTGGCCATTGGTCCTGCTGTACATCTACCATGTTATCTTGGTTCCCCCCATAGCTCACCATACCATCAGCTTCTTTCAGCTTGGAGCTCACTTCTCTTCCATTGAAAGTTGAGTCTCACAGTAACAATGCCCTTGCAAAGCCAGCAAGTCAGCCACAGGAACAGCATCCTTCTGTGGAAGGCCACTGCACCTGGCCCACCTGGTAGGCCTTGGGCAGGCATAATCTTTGAAGGTGAAATACAATGTCCTTCTCCCTCCCTCCCCATCTTACCACTTTCCTGGGAGAAGATGGTGATGAACTACCTAAGCAGAAAAATCACCTGGAAGCTTTCTGTTTGAGACTTGCCTTACACCCACATTGTCATACTTTCATAGGAGTGACTAAGCAGAAACTACAAACCACTCTCAAGATAACTGTGTGGTAACCCCAACTTACCAGCATAACTTGGCTGATTAACACTTCCTCCTTTCATTATATAATGACGAACAAGATCAATGTCATTATGCAGAGCAGCCTGATACAGTAAGTTCTCTCCAAAGATGTTTCTACGGTTAATGCTAGACAGAGATATTTCATTCCTCTTCATTTTTTCTGAAAGGAGGGGATAAACAAAAGAGAACAAAAAGTAATAATCCCTATTTGAAAACCAGGAAGAATACAGGTAATAGAGTGAATCCAGTCAACATTCTGTTATTGTATTATAAAAGAGTATTTCATCCATAAACCCAACTATAATGTTATCTACATGCAAAAAGATAAAAGGAAAAATGTCATTAGTTTGAAAACACTTGCAGTATATTATGAATCATGTAAGCAGTTTATGTTTATTGAAACCCCATGAAAGTGCATACGTGAGAAGACTAACAGATTACTTTCTTAAAAGTTCTGGTGAAAACGATTATTTAAATCTAGAATTAGATTGTCATTAAACCCAACAAGATACTATAGTGCTAAAATGTGATACACCACCATGAGGAAAAAATCTCAGACATACACAAGGAAGATACAGAAATTAAACACAATGAGGCCAGTAAAGGAAATGTTAAATTTCTTTCTTTGCTACAAATAGTTGTTCCAAAATTAAATAAAGAAATAAGATCTTGATCTGTACAATAGTTTTATTTCCTAAGCCAGGTAATAGACAATTAAAATAGATTCCCAGGTTATGCATATCCGGTATTATTTCTTCACTGTCTCTCCTAAAATACTCATACTCAAAATCCTGTCAGTTTTGATGGATACTATTCATTTGGTTTTCCTGAATTTCAGAATAACTCTGATGATAGCTTTTATAATTTTGATCTAGCTAATCTGCTCCATCCTACAATCTCACAAAAGTAACTGAGTATAGCAGCACATTTAAAAAAAAAGATTTTTATTTATTTATTTAACAGAGAGACAGAGATCACAAGTAGGCGGAGAGGCAGGCAGAAGGAGAAGAGGAAGCAGGCTCCCCATTGAGCAGAGAGCCCGATGAGGGGCTCAATCTCAGGACCCCGGGATCATGACCTGAGCCGAAAGCAGAAGCTTTAAACCACTGAGCCACCCAGGCATCCCAGCAGCACATTTTTTAATGGATCACAATTTATCTGCTTTGTCTTTTTTAGATTCCCTCCATTTAGTTACACTGAAAAATAAACCAACTTCTGAACCTTTGAGCCTGTCTTGTCCCACTCAAAACTACAAAGCATTCTGCTCCTACCAGATAAACTGTATTTACCAAAACAAAAGTAGTCTTTACTTCAAGATCTGTTTTTGCCAGTTGTACTTGCTAGTTATGTAATTTATTAGAAATAACAAATTAAGAATACAAAATTTTTCAATGAAAACTAAGATGGAGAAGACATTCACTTCCAATCACAACTTAATAATTGCCATGACTTGCCCTTCCATTGCAAACAACTAAAAAAACTAGACAAAATATATTGATTAAAAAAAAAACACAACCTATATTAAGACACTGGAAAACAGGCAATTCAGATCTATGACTCCTTCCAGAGAAGGGAAACAACAGACTGAGCTGTCTGGAGGCACTTTCCAGAATATAACACAAGCATAGCAAGGTGAAGCTTCTGAGCTGAGGAAATAGAAGTTTAAGTTTCAGGAGGCTAGGGTGATTAGATTTTGCACAGTAGGGTACTACTGTGAGGGAAGAGAGAACAGGTACCAGAAATCTACAAAAGGGACTCCTTTATCACTTTCTAAATACTACAGTGCTCATACGCAGGTTGAGGCTTCATGAGGCTGGGTAAGAACAACTACCCAAGAACTATAAAATAACAATCCTGAGAGATCACACCAGCTGGGAAACATGTACATTCCTGACAGCCAGAGGAGAGTGACCTTGGTAACAACCAGAGCATTAGTAGAGACCCTTAACAGGTCATGTCTTAGTAGAAGGGGCTAAACTAGCTGTAAAGCCTACACCAAACCTGCCTAATAAGGTTTTTTAAAAAGTTTTGAAAGGATCAATCTGATCTTCAAGTAACTTGGGCAAAAACAAAATACAGTATTTTTAGAATATATAGAGACATTCAATAACATTTTGTTGCATACGGTTATCTAATTATTCTCCTCCACAAAAAGCCTTGTGCCTTTGTCAAAACTCAAGGATTTATTTCGGAACTCAGTACATTACATTACATTTACCTGTTTCCCTATCTTGATGGAAATGTCATGCTATTTTGGTTACTACAGCCGTAACATTTTTTTGTTTTGTTTTGAGAGAGAAAGAGAATGTGCACATGTGAGTGGGGAAAGGGAGAAGGGTCAGGGGTAGAGGGAGAGAGAGAATCCCAAGCAGGCTCTACATCAAACACAGCCATCTCACAACCCTGAGATCATGCATGACCTGAATTGAAATCAAGAGCCAGATGCATAACCAACTGAGCCACCCAGGAATGCCCAGAATAAATCCCTTAAGTAGAATTGCCAATTCAAGAATTGTGACTTAAAAGTCTGAAGAATGTAAATAAACTGCCCGGTGAAAAGACTGAACAGGGGCACTTGGGTGGCTCAGTCAGTTAAGTGTCTCAATCTTAAGTTTCAACTCAGGTCATGATCTCAGGGTCCGGAGATTGAGCTCTGCATCAGGCTTCATGCTCAGTGCAGAGTCTGCCTGTCCCTCTCCTTTTGGTCTTCCCCCTATTTTCTCTATGTTAAATAAATAAATAAAATCTTAAAAAAAAAAAAAAGACTGAATAAACTTACAGTATTACCAAGAAAATAAGAGAATGCTTGCTTTTTCCATATTCTTGCCACTAGGAATTCTCAAATGTTTAAACATTTGACATTCTCTTAGTGAAAACTGTACTTCCTAATTTACATTTTTTAAAACATAAATGAGATGCTAATCCTTTCAATTATTTTTTTAAAGATTTTATTTATTTATTTATTTATTTATTTGAGAGAGAGAGAGCGAGCGCGTGGGGGAGGGGCAGGGGGAAAAGGAAAGAGAGGCAGAGAATCTCAAGCAGACTCAGAGGTGAGCAAGGAGCCTGATACAGGACTGGATCTCACCACCCTGAGATCATGACCTCAGGCAAAACCAAGAGTCAGATGCTTAACTGACTGAGCCAACTAGGTGCCCCAGTTATTTATATATATGTATATTTTTTTCCCTGTGAACTGCTTGTTCGTGTTCCCTACTCATTTTTCTTTTTTATTGTTTTCTAAAAGCTCTCTGCATGTTAATGCAATGAACCCCTTCTATTGTTATTAATATTTCTTCTGTGTTCAATGTTTGATTTTCTTTTTTTTTTTTTTTTTTTAAATATTTTATTTATTTATTTGTCAGAGACAGAGGGAGAGAGAGTGAGCGAGCACAGGCAGACAGAGGCAGAGGGAGAAGCAGGCTCCCCCTGAGCAAGGAGCCCGATGTGGGACTCGATCCCAGGACGCTGGGATCATGACCTGAGCCGAAGGCAGCCGCTTAACCAACTGAGCCACCCAGGCGTCCCAATGTTTGATTTTCTTTAGGGTATTTTCCATACAATCTTTTTAAAAATATGTGTAGTCAATTTTATCATTCTTTTCTCTCCTGGCTTCTGGGTTTGTCATTCTTTAAGAAGGTTTTTCCTCCTCAGAGATTACAAAAATAATTCATTTATGTTTTCTTCTAGAATTTTTTTTTCAGTTAGTCTTTGGCCAAAATGGAATTAAATTTAGTATATGGAATGTTATAGATATCCATCCAAATTTGTTTATATTTTTACTATTTACTGCTTGGTCCTTTTTTTTGCTACCAATTTGAGATGCCATCTTTATTATATACCTTCCCCAAAATTCACACTGTATCAGGCTTCTACATTTAAACTCAATTCTGTTTCATAAATTTATTTGTCTATTCCTGTGCCTGTACCCAATTATTTTAATCTATATGGCTAATTGCTTTCATATTATGTACAGCAGGTTCTCGTCTCTCCAGTCTCCCTGTGCTTTTATTTTTCAGAATTTTCTAGGCTAGTCTTTCATGTTTAGTATCATTTTATAACATTCTCATAATTAATCTCCAGTTTTATAAAGCAAAACAAAACAAAATAATTAGCAAATAAACAAAAATCTGTTTTTGATTGAGCTCTCACACATTTATAGAGTAATTTTGGGAGAAATAAATTTCTTACATGAATACTTACGGTCAAGAGTAAGATTCTTCTTTCTATTTATTCAAGTCTCTCTTTTTTTCTTTAAGTCCCTGAGTGGAATTTTCAACTCTTTTCTTATAGGCAAGGCACATTTCTTATTAGGTGTAGAGCAGGTATTTTCTCTTCATTATAGTTATTATAAATGGGACTTTCTCCTATATTTTTCTAACTGGGTAATACTTACACGTAGGTACTTATGTCTTGTTTCAGTTCACTGAATTTTTAAAATATTTTATCTGGAAAAAACTTCAGACTTACAAAAAAGTTATAGAAAGAGAACAAAAGATTCACCCATTATTAGTATTCTGCTATCTGTTTATATCATTCTGTCGTCTTTTTTATATAAATATATGCATGCACACAGACATATATATAAATAATAACTTACACACACCATGCCCCTTTACTCACTAATACTTAAGTGTGTATTTTCCAAAAACAAGGACATTCTTTTAAATAACCAAATTATTATTAAATTTAGGAAATTTAACAATGGTATCTTATTATTTAACCTACAGTGCATACTTTAATTTTGCCAATTGTACCCTTATTATATCTTTTTTTTTTTAAATTTTATTTATTTATTTGACACTCAGAGATCACAAGTAGGCGGAAGGGCAGGCAGAGAGAGAGAGAGGAGGAAGCAGGCTCCCCGCTGAGCAGAGAGCTCAATGCGGGGCTCAATCCCAGGACCCTGAGATCATGACCTGAGCTGAAGGCAGAGGCTTTAACCCACTGAGTCACCCAGGTGCCCCCCTCCCTTATTATATCTTAACCAGTCTTTCTACAGTCTTATGGTTTCTCATAGTTTCTTAGGTTATTCTTTGGGGTTTTATAGGAACAGAGAAATAACACCAAAGAATAACAGTAATTTTGCCTTATCTTTTCCTCTATTCCTCTTAGTATGATTTCTCAAAGCCTTATGCTACATTGGTCACACCACAAATAGATCATATATCTAAATTTGAAAAGGGTTCTGTAACTCTTTTCTCCAAATAGAAGTATAGAAAAAATACCAGCTAATAAGCCAGAAGTTCATGACCAAGTCCTAGTTATGAGCTGTGCAATGAGGTGTGCAATGCTCGGAAAAATCTTCAACCTCTATGAACTTCCTCATCAGTAAAATGAGAAAGTTGAGATAGATAATCTCTAACTCCTTTTCAGTACCAGAATTCTATGTCTGTAAGTTACTTAATTTAAAAAAAAAATTAAGAAATCAAATATGCCTTACCACGTTTTCCAGCAAGTTTTTTGTTTCTCTGCATCTGTTCTCCACTTTTGAGTCTGGTTGAATGCATATTCTTCCCTTTACCTTTAATCATTAAAGCAGGATCCTGCATTCTTAAAAAATAAATGTGTTTTTTAAATTACTATCATGTTCTCTACAACCATCCACAGAGAATCATATTAAATTTTTACTGAGTTTTTAAAACTGAAAGGTATTTTACTGAGTTGCTATCAAAGAGCATGGCACTTTAAAATATGGAGATGGCTCCTGAGTAAACTGCAGGTAATTCTGTGACAAGCATGCCGATTTGGTGGTTCTAGCCTTTTCTTTGTGCCACCTGTAGGTTTCTTTCCTTTAGGAGCAGTCACCTACAAGTATTCTGAGTCTCTTGCCCCTCATTCCCTAGACTGCCATGCCACTATCTATTCACCTTCTAGGGAAAAAGAGATAGGCTCTTTCAAGAAAACAGGACTTGCCATGTGGGATTACACTGATCAAAAACTGCAAAATACTGGAATAAAAACAGACACATAGCTGAATGGAATACTGCAGAGTCAGGAAATAAACCTATGTATAGATGGCTAATTAACTTACAATAAAGGAACCAAAAATATACAATGAGGAAAGGACAATCTTTTTAATAAATGATGTTTGGGAAACTGGATAGCCACATGTAAAACAATGAGATTGGGCCTCAATCTTACATCATACACAAAAATCAATTCAAAATGAGTTAAAGACTTCATTGTAAGACCTGAAATCATAAAACTCATAGAAACAAAACACAGGGGGTAGGCACCTTGACGTTGGTCTGGTAAATCATTTTTTGGCACCAGAAGCAAAGGCAACAAAAACAAGAATGAAAAACTAGGGCTAATCAAATTAAAAAGTTTCTGTATGGAAAAGGACACCACCAACAAAATTAAAAGGCTGCCTACTGAATGGGAGAAAATATTTGCAAATCATATACCTGATAAGGGGTTAATATTCAGAATATATAAGGAACTCATACAACTCAATAGCAAATTAAGCAAACAATCCAATTCAAAAATGGAAGAGGAACTAAAATGACATTTTCTCAAAGAAGACAATCAAATGGCCAACAGGTACATGAAAAGGTGCTCAACATCACTAATCAGCAGGAAAATGCAAATAAAAACCACAGTAAGGTATTACCTCATACATGTTATAATGGCTATCATTAAAAAGACAGGAAAGAACAAGTGTTGCTGAGGATGTGAAGAAAAAAGAACCCCTGTGCATTATAAACTGGTGAGGACACTATGGAAAACAGGATAAAAGATCCTCACAAAATCAAAAATAGAACTACCATATGACACAGCATTTCTACTTCTGGATATTTAGCCAAAGGAAATAAAATTACTATCTTGAAAAGATATCTGCACCTGTGTCCACTGCAGCTTTATTTATGATAGCCAAGACATGGAAACAACTTAAGTATCCATTGATGGATAAATGGATAAAGAAAAGTGGTGTACACACACACACACACACACACACATACATACACATACACACACAATGGATTATTATTCAGCCATAGAAAAGGAAATCCTGCTATTTGTGACAATGTGAAAGGATCTAAAGGGAATTATGCTAAGTGAAATAAGTCAGACAGAGAAAGACAAATACTATATGATCTTATATGTGGCATCTCAAACAAAACAATCTAAACTCATAGATACAGAGAACAGATTGATGGTGTCCAGAAGCAGAGAAGTGGGGAGTGAGTGAAATGAGTGAAAGTGATTAAAAAGTACAAACTTCCATTTATAAGATATATAAGTCCTGGGGATAGAACATCCATGGTAGTACTGTACTGAATAGTTGGAAGTCATGGAGGGAGTAAATCTTAGAAATTCTCATGACAAGAAAAGAAAATTCTATAACTCTGTGATGATGGATGCTAACTAAACTTAATTTAAAAAAGAAAGAATGGAAATTAGAATTAGGTTGAAATCCAACAAATCTCTCTTAACTCTGTCTTCTTTAAAAAAAAAAAAGTAGAAGAGTTTTCTGGGTTAAAAAAATAACTGTACAGTAAATAACGCAACAACACTGAAAAACAAAGCTCTTCACTTAGGCATAACTGTGCATTGACTCTAGTGTCCCAAGCATAGAATTATCTATAAGGTCTGTAGCATATCTAAAGAGAAAGATATAATTTGGGAGTATACCTGAAATTCTTAGAGATATTACTTATTTGATCCTCACTGACAAGAATCTTTGGTAAAATCTTTTCTGGCGTCTTATACAAGTCATCTGTGTGCTTTGCATCTCTGCCTGCTTTCAGTCTGGACGATCTCCTTAACACACATGGAGTATCCTGGCCAGATTTATTTTCCACTGAATTTGAATTTCCTTTATTATGTAGTAGATCACATGAGGTGACATTTTGATGAACCGAAGTTTGCAGCCCAAAGTTTGGATCTTCTAGAGTCTGTAATAAGGTGCAAACACACAAAAAACTGTAACAATGCAAAAAATTTAAAATGAGAAGAAATTAGGTTTTATCTTGTCCTTTGATTATAAAAAAATGCCTCTTATAATATGAAAGTGCAAAAATTCACAGACCACATAATGAAAATTTAATAATATAATAAAAGCCAAAGCGGATTTAAAAGTCTACGATAAGAAGAGCATAAGTAAAAATTATTCCTATCAATATTCATCCTTAAAATTCAAGGGCAAAACTAAGGTTACTCTGGATGCTTTAACTTCATAGGAAACAGGCATCAAAAAATAACATATAAAAAGAGTAGAAATGTCATACTAGACCAGAGCAATGTTCTACTTAGCCCAGTGGTTGTTGTTTTACAGTAGGAAGTTTGTATTTTGTGGGACAAAATTGTATATAACCTCCATTATATTGATTTTAAAAGGTTACCAGTAAATCACGAATGACTCTAACTTTCCCTTAATAATCCATTATAGATTTAACTTTCATGAAGATACATATCATGTAAACCTTTCTAGAGCTTATTTATATGTACAGCTTGCAAAGCTTTTTAGTGTACCAAATTCCGTATTTTTATTATGGTTGAATAAAAGGGTATTTAATTTGTTCTCAATCTCTTTTTTACTTTTAAAAGGGTTTCTTTTTTCAAACACTTGCTAAATTCATGCTCACTCTGTTAATACCCACCAATTATAATCTCCTACATTTTACTTATATTACCTCTTTTCAGATTAGGATACTGTAATGTTTAATTTAATCTTCACGCCCTATCCCCATGATTAGTTTTTTTTTTTTTCTGGATTTTTAAAAAGTTTTATTTTGTCTGTTTTGAGATGTTTTCTATGAGAACTGCATGCAGTATTATGCCAGGTATGTATTTTACAACATGAGCTTAGTAACATGTTATTCAAATTGTCCCAAGAATGTTCATAAAAGTAGTCTGGTAACAGCCAAAAGAAAAAAAAGAGAAGAGATAAAAAATTAAAATGACTATCATTAGTGAATTAGTTAAATAAATTATATTTATATAATATACATACACCCACACACAAAATATCCACATAGTGGAATAGTATTCAGCAAGTAAAAAGATTTTAGTATGCTACATTCACTGACACAGATAACCAAGATGTATAATCAAATTTTAAAAAGCTGCAAAATGTCAACTATACTTTCATAAAAAATATTTTAAAAAGTTGCAAAGTATTATGTATAATATGGTCTCACTTATACAGAATAAACTTACATAGAATATGCATAGAAAAAATTAGAGACAGATAAACCAAACTGTTAATAGTGATTAACTCTGAAATATGGAATTGTGGGGGACATTTTCAAAAATTGTATTATTATGTATATTGCTATAATGTTTGATTTTTTTAAATAATGAGGGTGTATTACTATTATAGTCAGGAAAAAAAACAAGATTCCTTTAAAAAGGAAAAAAAAATTGTCAACATAAAAAAGAGACTTGGCTAGTGGTAGCCCACTGCAGGGTCTCCAGGCATAATACTGCAGGAATTCTAAACCTCAGGAACTTTGCTACCCGACAGTAGCCTCAGATGCAGATTGCAAAGTTCTGCTGAAGACAGGCATAACTTTTCCTTCTCCTAGAAGCCCAACCGCATATACTCTATCCTCAGCTAGAAATTAATGTGGGGTATCTCATCTCTACTTTACACTAGGTAGGCATAGCAATTCTCTGAGCTAACAGGAAAAAAATCTGGTAGATAATTATTTCCTTCCTATATACAAGCAATCTAATGATAAGTCTCAGGTCTTCGATGAGAAACTTAACTACTTCTACATTTAAATCCCTTGAAAACTCTACCCTGGAATCTCTAGAGAGATCAGCTTCAAACTGAAAAAGCATCTTTTGGGTGTTGAAATTTGGGAAGAAGATCTGAATTTAAAATAAAGTATATGGGCAATGAAGACTTGGTAAAAGTCACTATAAAAGGCAAAATCAGAGACTCACAGTTGCACTTACATGCTGCAGTGAAAGATGCTTGTCCTGCAGCTCCCCTGACTTGGAATCTTGTTCAAAGGGTGGAGCAGAACAAAGAGACTCAAAATTCACCTCTGTTATTTGTGTACAATCTTCACTGGTCTGAGACATCTTGGGCTCCACTCCTGAATACTCATTTCCAGCACTGAGACTGCTGCCTCCCTCTTTTCTGTGACAGATGGGTCTCACGTTGCCTTCTGATAATGTGTTTATGGCTGCTAACAACTCAGCTGGCAATGCATCATCCTTTGTATTTTCTAGGAAATCTTTGTAACATGTCAAGGATACTGATATGGAACTTGGAGAGTTGCTCAATGGGTTGTCCAACTCTTTAGGTTCAAAATCACTCATTATTTCAAACAGTCTTTCTTCCTGAGCCATTTCTGGTGATGTGCGTAACCTTTCTAAGGCAGACACAAAAGTTTTAAGAGAACTTTCTTCATCCTTGGTTTCTTCAGAATTCATGGTCAATGTGGCTTCCTTTCCAGACTTAGAAAACTTACTTGGTGCTGCTAAGATCTCTGGCTCTATTAACAGCTTCTCCTTTACAACCACCACATCAGATACTTCAGCAGTAGTACCAGACCGAAAGCTAATTTCAGGAGCATCTCTGTCTGTGTTTAGTTCCTGCGTATTCCAAATAGAAATTCCATCATTACAGCATATGCTAAAAATTAAAATTAAAACTTCATAGTTTTCTAGTTTATCATCTTGGTAAATTACCACTACAGAGTTTTATCAATTTTCTTCCCCTTCCATAAAAAAAAAAAAAAATACTCTTCACTAATTTCCTGCACCAAATTACTGAATACATGGCTAAACATTCACAGTGGACCAAGAGCAAAATTGGCTGGGTCATAATTATAGATACCAATTATCTATTCAACTAAGTTTAAATTATTTGTGCAAAGAGAAGAGGCAGAGATGACACGAATAGTTAAATTAGTAGCTAATCTCAAAACTTCATTGCAGGTAATGACTGTAAAATTCTCCCTTGCCTAAAATCACTCTTGGGGTGCCTGGGTAGCTCAGTTAAGCATCTGACACTTGATCTCAGGGTCATAAGTTCAAGCCCCATGCTGGACTCCACACTGGGCACACAGCGAAAGGAAGGAAGGAAGGAAGGAAAAAAATTTAAAAATCACTACTGAATTTTATAAAAATCATTAATCAAGAATAAAATTGGTATTGTTTCACCTTCTTTTTGTTCTCCATCTCTGTATCACTATGTAACTGTGAAGTAAAAAGGCCAAAGGAAAGAAGATCAGAGGGGAAAAGAAGAAAAATAAAGACACACTTGTAAATACTACACGCCTTAGCTATAAATCAATGGTTCTGCATTATAGTTAATTTAAACAGGTAACACAAAACTTACATTTATAAATGACTATTACTTTTCAAAGACATCATCTTAGTAGGTTATATATACCTCTTCTTCTAATTTTCTCAATGCTCAAAATATTATTAGACTTTCTTTTCTGAAATTGCTTTCAAAAACCATTTATAAGCCATTTAAAAGAGTCTTAATACTTTGAAGACATTGGACATGTTTTTTTTTTTTTACCATTAAAAACTGTTAATGTGCTGGTCACCTGGGTGGCTCAGGTTGTTAAGCGTCCAACTCTTGGTTTTCAGCTCAGGTTCTGATCTCATGGGTCATGAGATCAAGCCCTGCATCGGGTCTGTGCTCAGTGGAGTCTGCTTGGATACCCTCTCCTTCTGCCTTTTCTCCTACTTGTTCGCACATGTGCATGCTCTCTCTTTCCAATAAATAAATAAAATCTTTTTTTTAAAAAAACCTGTTAATTTGCTTGACCTTAAATAATAGAGTGGGTTTCAATACTTTCGGCTATTTCTAAACATCAAATCCATCTTCCATTGACACACCATTCTCAAAGAATGCACTGTAATCTGTAAGCTCTCTGGTATTCTGATTTGATTTAGGTAAGAGAAGGGAAAACCATTTTACTCTCCCCCTTCTTTCCATACCTGCCACCATTTATCTTCTCTATGTATAGCATACAAAGCTTAAGAAGATATATTTATTAGTAATGTAAAATATAATTTGCTCAGAAAGATAAAAGAAATCTAGGAAAAAAATCAAGAACCAAATTCTATCCATTCTTTAAGTCACAGTCCTCCTATCTGTAGAACTTTTATCTACTAAATTCAAGGCCATATATGTAATAAAGTATATACATTGGACTCTGCCTTAAAGGAACTTAATTTCTACATGAAGACTGAATGTATAAATCATAAGACATTAAATATGTATAAATAATATCAGAAACACTGTATAAAGTCAAATGAATGGCATAAACAAAAGATCCCAGTGTGTTACAGTTTTCTGGTGGGTGGGGGGACAGACAGCAAGCAGTGGAGGGTTTTAACAATTGCTAGAAAAATGCCTGCTTAAACAAAGGTAACAAGGTTTCTTTACCTCAAGACTTCTCAGAACATATGCATTAAAATCTCTGAGGAAGGGCGCCTGGGTGGCTCAGTGGGTTAAGCCTCTACCTTCGGCTCAGGTCATGATCTCAGGGTCCTGGGATCCAGCCCCGAATCGGGCTCTTTGCTCGGCAGGGAGCCTGCTTCCCCCCCTCTCTCTGCCTGCCTCTCTGCCTACTTGTGATCTCTCTCTGCCAAATAAATAAATAAAATCTTAAAAACAAAACAAAACAAAACAAAACAAAAAACCTCTGAGGAAACTTTAAGATATAGTAATCTCCAAACTTCTTTGTTCACAAAGACCCTTTTTCTCAGAAGATCTATTAATGTCATAGGATGCAAGTGATCGAGAAATACTGATATAGTCAGTGAATAATGAACATTAAAGAGGGAGCAATTAACCTTGGTCAAGATCACCAGAGTCATCTGAGATAGATCCACAAAGGAAAAAGGACTTGAACCAGAAATTAAAGATTTGTGAAGGAGTTGAAGAAGGGAAAATACATATTAAGTACCAAGTAGGTGCTAGACACCATGAACTATCATTGCTCTCAGTTCTCACAATAATCCTGTGAAATGGGTATTTCAATAGGTATTTTACACATGAAAATGGACATACTTGCCCCTGAAACACACACTTTCTGGTTCCATATTTTATGTTCTTTCCTTTGCTTTTTGGTTCCTGACTTGAACAAAGGCATGGAAGTGGTAATGTAAAAGGTATACCTGAGATAAAAGAAGGTACAGGTATAGGTATGGTAAGGTTGACTTGGGGAGATCCTGGACTATTTGAGTCTGTTGTGGGCAGAGTCAGTCTTAAAGTCCTCTAATTCCCCACAGCACCAAGGAGAAAGCAAAACCAAAAGAAGCACTCAATATGTGGTTACTGAATAACATCTGGAGGATGAGAAAGCAGTATCTAGCAGGAAATAGTAAATGAACTGTGGTAACAGACAAACCAACAGAAGGCATTTTTGCTACATCATCTCCACGATTAGTTTGATCATAAGTTATATACTTCTCTTCTAGATACACAATAAGAGACTAATAATACTGGATATGAAACACAGATCAAGGTACATTCTAAGGAAGATGGTAGAGTAGAAGGACCCTAAGCTCACCTCATCCCACAGATACAACTAGGTAACACTCAACACTGGTATAAATAATTCAGAAAATGACCCAACGACTGGAAGAACAAACTCATAGCTAAATAAAGAGAAGAGGACATAATGAAGAGGATAGGAAGGCCAGAGATGCAGTGGGGAGCTAAAAAGACCTGCAGGACCCTCCCTGGGAGGGAGAAACTCCATGTGGAGAGAGACAGGAGACAAACATACTATCACACTGAGGGGAAGCCTGCTGGGAAAGACAAATTCCCATAACATTTGGCTTTGAAAACCAAAGGGGTTAAATTTCATAAGTTCTTACAACCAGTGGGACTTAAAACCTAGAACTTTAAAAATCAGCGAGCTTGGGGGCACCTGGGTGGCTCAGTGGGTTAAAGCCCCTGCCTTCAGCTCAGGTCATATCTCAGGGTCCTGGGATGGAGCCCCACATCGGGCTCTCTGCTCAGTGGGGAGCCTGCTTCCTCCTCTCTCTGCCTGCCTTTCTGCCTACTTGTGATCTCTGTCAAATAAATAAATAAAATCTTAAAAAAAAAAAAAAATCAGTGAGCTTGGCCAGGAAGGTGAGAGGAAACAGTCCTTGTTTAAAGAGACAGCACAAAAAACAACCTGCAGAGATATACCACAGAAGTAGCAGCTGGTAAAACGCTTGCGGAGTAGGGGAGGGAAATTTGTTTATTCATGTACAGGGATCCTTGGGAGACTTCTCTAGAAACAAAGGAGCTGGATGGCAGGTGCCATTTCACACCCTGTCCATGCCCCAGTCTAAATACATGGCCACGTGCAGGAACCAGTGGGATGCAGACACTTGCTACCTAACTTGCTAGCAACATACCTCCTGCTCCTACAGATTTTGTGGATCCACCCCCTCCAAAAAGCTCTCTGCCAGAGCTCATCCAAAGAGGTACAAAAAGACTTCCAGTGCACGAGCAGCTCCAACAGGGGCCAACACCACTCCAAAGTGATTCTTGCCCTAGGGAGAAGAAAAGACAAACCACATATACCAGTCCGAATGCAGCCCCAGCAGTGGGCTAGGGGCAGACTGCTGGTCTAACCACAGGCACTGCCCACTAAGAAAAGCCTCTAAGGGGACAACACAGGCAAAGTGCTGTGCAGTTTGGGGATACTGTCTCTCTGGAAAATGTCTGGTCTGACTCAACTGTCCACCCCAGGGTGGCTCCAAACACTAACAATAGAGGGACCAAATAGTGCCCACAACAGATAAATAGCGCTGTTGCACACAACTAGACTGAAGAAAAAGGTGGCTCTGCCACAACAGCAAGGTGCACACAACACGCACAGAAGACGCCCCTGATGCACCAGGTTCTGGAGAATGCTGCACTGCAGGACACTACAGGAACTCTTCTTCATAAAGCCACTGCTTTCAAGAGCAGGAGATGTAGCTGATCTTCCTAACACACAGAAACAGATGCAGAGAGCTGGACAAAATGAGGAGACACAAGAATGTGTCTCAAATGAAAGAAAAAGAAAAAATCACAGAAAGAGAGCTAAATGAAACAGGTAAGTAATGTACCTGAGAGAGAATTTAAATAATGGTCATAAAGATACTCACAGAGAAATGAGTGGAGGACCTCAGTAAGACCCTTAACAGAGACAAAGAAAACATAAAAGACTCAATCAGAGATTAAGAACTTCACTGAAATTAAAAATACACTTAATGGAATAAACAGTAGACTACAGGAAGAAGAAGAACGGGATCTGTGACCTGGAACATAGAGTAATGGAAAGAATCAAGACACAAGGTGAGAGAAAAAAAAAATACAAAATGAAAACAGATTTAGGGGACTTGGCAACACTATCAAGCATAATAACAGTCATATTATAGGAATCCTGGAAGGAGAAGAGCAAGAAATGGGGGCAGAAAATTTACTTGAACAAATAATAGCTGAAAGCTTCCTGAATCTAGAAAAGGAAACAGAAATCCAGATTCAGGAGGCACAGACATCTGCCAACAAAGTCAACCCAAGGAGGTACACACCAAGACATACAGTAATTAAAATGGCAAAAAGTAGTGATAAAGAATTTTAAAAG